AGTTCGCTAAATCTGTTTTAAATTTTGGCATTCCCATGATGTATCCTTGGAAGGAAAAGATGTACCGTACTCAACCGCGTTAGCGCCCAGGGTTCTCAACTCACTTACCCGAGCACCCCCCCCCCCTTGGAAAAGAATGCAACTGACAATTTTAATTCACCGTGTTACAGATTGAGGGGGATATTACGCAGTGTTCTCCCCAGGCCAAAACAGCGTTGCAGGCCCCGACGCGATCGGATTTGCCCGCGACGCTATGTGTTTCCTTCGCGATGCTATTATTTATCCCGTGATCTGATTTCTTCAGTATCTCACAAACTGTAAAGTTTCCTGGCTAACTAGTTAAATCTACAAATGCATTGTATTAACGCCAATTTCCCGGGATAATCCCCTGTTGTTTCTCATTGGTTGGATATCGTTTTAAAAAAACAAAGCAGTTCTATAAAGACAAAGCCGTAAGCCCCGGTGTCAAACGCTCTTTGCCAAACGTATATTCATATGTAAATGATATAGTCACATTTGGGGTCAAAAGCCACATGTTTCCAGTGTGTACGAAACGTATTTTCATTATTATTTTTAGAAATGTAGTTGTACTATTATTCTAAGTTTTGATTTCTGTCAGTATTTTTGATATTGTATTTGTTTTTTGAGATCAAAATGTGAAAAACTATATATTTATGATGTAAACAATTTTGACCTCGTGATTGTGAAATCCAAGATGGCGTCACCCACGTAAGATCCAGCGAGCGTGAACTTCCCACTCGAATCGCATATTGTGCTCAGATTCGGATGAATTAAGTGAAGCATAATTGAAAATAATATATTTATCAAGAAATCGGGAATTCTAATCAAGAAACGTGTGGAAATTGGAGTGACACTTGTGTTATTTCTTGGTATAACAATGGCGACAATTCGTAATTCAGACCTCTGTTGTCTCGAATTGTTCACAATTGTGTTGAACAGACAACATCGATGATTAAAAAAAATAAAGATGGATAATTTCAGCCAGAAAAACTATTATTGCTCGAACATAGTAGCGTAAGTATCGTGACTCGTAACAGTTGTTGTACTTAACCGGAAAACAACAGAAACGGAAGACAAGCAATGAGAATAATCAACCCAATGTTTAATTTACCTGGACTGAACAGGGTTTTATAAAGTTGCTGATTGCTGGGCCAAGCAAAGAAACAGAAAACTCAGTATTTCTGCGGGACATTTGCAATACTAAACATGCAGTGCAATAATTGTATACAGATTGCACATAAAATAAATAGAAAAAAAGGAAAAAAACTGGTTTTGTTTTATTTCCCCATATGACAAACAATATGTTAATTTAGGCTAATTATATGCTAATTATTATGCAAATTA